TGTGGCTGTCACAGACGGGAATACTCCACCTCACATGCGGTATCTGCACTGGCTGTACCTGTGCACGAGCTGCTCCAGCGACAGCTGCACAGTTTAGAAGGCACAGTGAAAAATATTCTGCATGGGCACTATTCTCAAACAGAACCAGGAGCAGCTCGGAGCTGTGGGCTGGTTCCCTGCACCTGATCCAGCTGCAGAAGGAAAAGGGCTTTGGAGAGGATCCTGCTCCTCCACTCACACCTGGGCTCTGCACAGCCAGCGGTTCTGTGACCACAGACATTGCTGCAGTTTTCCTGAGAACAAGCCTTTATATTAAAAACACCCCAAAACCCCCAACAAAACAGCCTCATAGCCACGGCCAAGGCCTGCTTGGAGCCCACTGGGGACAGGGGTGCATGGCCAGGGGCTGGAGTGGGTGATCCTTCCAGAAAGCTCAGTGACAACAGGGGCACAACCAGCACAATCAGCAGCTCCATGCACGAACAAAAGGACCTGGGCTTCTCATTCAGTGAAATGTTCCCGTTGCTATTTCCCATCACAAAACTGCCTCCATCCCATAATGGATCAGATTGCTCCCACTCCGCAGAGGAGACTTACATGCGGAATCAGCATCACCCCACAGGAGATGGTTTATGTGCAGCAGGCTGCACAAGCAGGAGAGAAAGCTTCCACTGCCTGCTCCCTGGGGCTCCAGCTCCTGGGATTAAAGAGATTTGTCCACTTTAAAAACTGTCCTTTCTGCATTTGTAATTCTGCTGTTCCCACACAAAGGTTAGTGTCGACCAGATGGAATATTTACACCCCTCACCTCTGAGCTGGCAGAGGGCACAGGCAGCCAGGGCACCGGGCCCTGGAGGGAGCACCCCGGGCTGTCCACAATGGTCCTCGTCCATCACAAGCACAAATGTGCCTGCTGGCTCCCGTTCAGAGCTAAATCATCTCCGAGGGTCCTTGAGAGCTGTGCTCAGCTCTTTTCATCTACAGAGCCATCAATCAGCTGCTCCCGAGCGCTTGGGAAGAGGCAAGAGAAGAGTTAAAAATAATAGGGGCTCCATTATTCCATTACAGCCACACAGCTCCTAAATCTACAGGAGCAATAACGGATCCTACTGCATGATTCAGTGATTCTGGGAAAGCTGAAATCTTGATCATATTTTCTAGTTCTTTCTTTGCATTAAGAGCCACGGGGGTTATTTTGCTTATCTCTTGTAGCGCAGCTTTGTTGTTTTTTCCTATCCAGGCATTTCCGTGGTCTCCATCACCATAGTATCCAAGTGTTTATCTTATTGCATTTGTCACCTTGGTCTCATCTCCGCATAATGTGCAGTGGATGACAAAAGATTCCGAGGTAAATTGGTTCAGTGACACGCACAGCTCTGTCAATACCGTGCAGATGTTAACAGAAGTGGGACCCGACTCTGCTGCCTCTCAGACCAGTTTACACTGGTGTAATTCTATTGCCTGCAGTAACATCATTTTTGGGTTGTGTTCCTGCCTGTGGCAGAAGGATTAGACCTGCAGTCTTTTCAGCCTCTTCCATAGCATCCCTTTGCTGAAAAAAACAAACCAAAACCAACCCCAAACCAAACCAGCACAGAAGGGAGACTGGTCTGCCCAGTAAACCCCATCCTGCCTGTCCCCTCCTTATCTCCCCTCTGCCCCATTCCTGTTGCACCAAAATGCTGCACAGCACAGAGAGCCAACAGCAGGGACAGTAACCAGGGCAATAAAGCCAGAAGGGAACAACCAAGTGGAAATGGAGATTTTCCACCAGAATTTCATGCAGCAAAGCAGGTGAGCAGCCCCTCAGGTAAGCAGCACCTCAGGTAAGCAGCATCACGGGTGAGCTCATGGCTTTCAGAGGCTCTGAACTGCATGGGGCAGGAGCAGCAGTGAGACCCAGGAGCCTCAGGAAATAACTCTCTGCAGTCCCCAGGAGTGCTGGGGCGGGTTGGACGGTGACAAAAGCACTGCAGGATGCCCATGAAGGTGCCCAGAGGTGCTGAGCCATAAAATGCTGCTTTAACCATAACCCACAGGGCATGGCTGGATGGGGAAAGAGCCTCCCGAGGGCAGCTGAGGTGCCTTTGAGGAGGAAACACTCCATGCTAAGGCAGCGTGTCACAAACCTCTAGGGGCTGGATAAAGACCTGCTAAAGAAAAGGCACCAAACCCAGTCACAGGTATCACCAGGAGCCACTTGGGGAGCTCCAGCCCTGGCGAGGGCTCCTCAGGCCCTCTCCAGAGAGGAGATCAAAGGGTAAAGGGTCATGGAGTGGTTGTGTTTTATCTTTTGCAGATCCATGGACTGAACGCCTTTGTATTTTACTGACCCACTTCACTAATCAAAATTAATTGCTTCATATTTCACAGGATAACTTGGCATTATGTAAATACCCCAGCCATATGTGCTGCTGCAGCGCTGGGTGAGCCAAGCTGTGAGCTGAGCAGAGGGGACCACGCTCC